ACTGCCCTCCTGGGGCTGTGCAGGGATGGAAGGAGCGGTCTGTGTCTTCCTTTCTGTCCTTATCTTGTGCATTCATTTCCCTAGTGACTGAGTTTATTGCTACAGGAGGCTCAGTCTGTCCCTCTACAATTTTCATGGAGCAGGAAAAATCGGTTTGCACACAGGCAGATGTGAAGCCACAGCAATGAGGATTCACCACAATTGAACCATAGCTGAAACTTCTGCTTGTTTACCTAAGCACTCATTTTCTTTACAATGCATAGAATTTCTTCTTGTCACTTCTACTCCTATGTTTCTGTAGAAGCTCTTTAGCTGCAAGGTGGGCCTTAGCAGCCCGTGAAGGTAATCAGGGTTATTGTTAGTTGGAGCTGCCCTTGTAGCCTGTGAGGGTGCCGAAGTCCAGCTGGGTTACAGCACTGCCGCCATGGAGTCGTAGTCTCAGCAGATTACACACTGTCGATCCCCGAGTAGCTCAGGCCCAGCCTAAAATGTGACTTTCTTTGAGAAATGAGTGAATTAAATACTTTCAAAGGTGGTGATCCATTCTAGCACCTTGGGATTGGGATCTTGGATTCCTCAGTTTGAGTTTAAATGAAGATTTACCTACCCTTACATAAAAAGCCTGCTGCCCCCCATTCCTGTCTGGCCTCTGCGGGCGATGGGCAGTGGTGGGAGGAGATGCCACAGAAGTGCTGTGGGGGTGGTGGATGCCAAACAACTGCTCCCTGTCTCCCCAGGGCTAAAAAGCCCACAGGGTGTATATCACATTTTGGGGGATTTGTGCTATTGAGTTCTTTTCCTGGATGCATTTTATCCATGTGTTTGCTGTTCTACTGGTTGCTTGTGGGAACAGCAACGCTGTGAAGAAAAACGGTTGCTCTGTGGAGTCCTGTGTCTATAGAGCCGGCTCTTCCACGTCAGAAGTGCTGCTTAGCAAAATATGTTTGGGTTTGCAGAACCAACTTAGCTTTCTTCACATGTATGCTCCACTCCCACTAATTAAGTATTATGCAAGGCAAATTGTCTTCAGAACCTGTACAACTTCATAGTCTTTATGTTATGCTCAACTGGCACGTCTTCAATCACATTATGTTCAGATTTGCACATTCACTGAAATGCGATAAACAATTCTGCTGTGCTCAGAAGTAAAATTCAACTTCTTCACAGCTGTATTGATTTCCCAGAGGAAGAAATATTGCTGAGCAAAATGACAGCATATGTAGGTATTTGGTTTTCAGAGGAGCGCCTCATGGAACATAGCACTAAACCCAGACATTTAATTGCTACTGGGAATGAGCTGGGAAATAAGCATACATGCATGTATGAAATACATTTCACACCTTTTCTGAGATGATATTTCAGTAATAAATTTTTTTTTTTTTTTTTTTTTTTTTCTGCGAGGATCACACAGATGAATTTTTGGTGGAATTCTTCTAGTTTTAAACGCATTCAATGATACCATTATTATCCATAAGAAACCTAGGTATCGTACATGCTACTGCACACAGTTAAGCATTAGAGCAAAGGATCATTACACAAATGTAACTTTTTTTTACAATCTGTTTATTTTGCTGTGCAGTCCTATCCATTAGGCTTTTTAGAGAGATTTATATTTTACAGATTCCTCTTTTAGAATTTTAATTTCATTCACTTATTTAAAATATAGTCTTTGGACTCTGAGAAATGAGCAATGCAAATGTTTGCTATTGACAATAGTGTTTTTATATTTAATAATTTCTTAAATAGTCCAGCATGCCTATGGTACAGTTCTATGCCCATGTAGAGAATGAATGCTCAGCCCTCCTTGTTTCTCTCCAAGGCTGAACAAAGGCTGCTGATACTGCTGTGCCCGCTCTGGGCGAAAGGCAACTCGGAGGAGCTGATGTCGTGTGCTGGGGTCTACAGCTGGGGGAAAAGTGCTCACCCTGGTTGTTAAATATGTAAAAAGAGGGCAATGAAGCCTGTATTCTATAAGGGAGCTGAAACACTGAAACTGAAATATCTGTGAGCACAGTGCATCCACCTATCTCCGCTTTAAGTTAGGCAGCATGGGTGCCAGTAGCAGTTTGGCTGTGGCAGAAGGGATCTCAGCACAGAGCAACTGCAGTATACTTGGGTGGTCAGTCGTATTATTTTCTTTGAGAACAGGAGTCACCAGCTTGAAGTTAGACTGGTAAAATTATTCCATACCGATGGCATAAATGAGTAGTATGAACATATGCTACCTCCAAATTTTTTTCCTTGGTTGATTCCCAGGGCATGCGGCTAGGTTCTGCTTCTTACATGGGACATAAGCAGGCCAAAACATCTGAAGAATTAATGTGTAAAATATTTATGTGAGTAGAAGAAGATATTTATTCTTCTTTATAAAACTTAACATAAAAGCAATGAAAGTTTAAACATTTTAGGAGCCCAAAACAATACTTTATATCCATTATTTTGACACGTCTATGAATCCAAATACAAACTGTTTACTATTTCAACAGGATTTTTCCTTTCCTGACTGGGATTTACCAAACTTTAATTTGCAAAGTTGTGAGGTTTTCTTAGTAAATAATTTATACTTATTAATTTGGCTGCCAAATGAGATTTTTATAATTTCTGTAATTTCTGGAAATTTAATTCTGGTATCAATATTTGCCCTTTCTCGGACAAAAAAAAAAAGAATATACATGCACTGAACTATAATCCATTCTACAGCCGATTCAAAATTATGTATTTCAGCAACTCATCTACTTATCAGACTTTTCTATTAACTGCAAGTGTGTAGTGAGAAGGTACAGTAATGGTTTAATATATCACCAAGACAGACAATGTTTGAATGTATATGTTAGTCTACATTTTTAGGAATTACAAATAGGACAACTATGTGCACAGTATTTTAAAATGCAGTGAACTTCTCTTCTACTTGCATTGACTATACCATTTCCTTACACAGTTGAATCTGGTTAAAAGCTCTATTCCCAGTGTAATAAACATGACACTCCAGGCACAGCATTGACAGCAGAGATCATTAAGGCTCTGTTCTGATGGCTGTTTATTTCTCTGTGCATACCTCCTCTCTACTCCCTCTTCTCCCAGTCCCTTCCCCCCCAACACCCCTTTTTTTTCTTTTTTTTTTGTACAGAATGAAAACCCCATTGGCTCCAGAGGATTCAGGAATAAAAGTTTAAGAGAAAAGATTTTAACCTGAAAGTAATGAAATGGGTAATGAAGTGTAGATTCATAGTAATAGCAATACCTGGTATGTATAAAGCTGTTTTAATATTTTTAATTTTTTTTTTTGGTATGGCAGGAGAAACCAGTATCCATATTCCATAGTGCTAAACACTCTACAACAGGTAGCACACAGAGAAGAGTCCAGACTGAAGGTCATATAGTCAGACTGGGTCGCGGCAGTCTTTGTGATTTCAAGGAAGAACAATCATCTCTATTTTTGAGATACAGAATGTGAGGCACAGAAAACGTAAATGCCTTGCTCAGAAACACACAGTGAACCAGTGGTAGACTTTGGGTCTGTTGAGTCCACAGCCACCGATTTATTCCTTGGCCCATTCTGTCCTCTTAAACAACTAAGAGAAGATCTTCTGAGATACACAACATGGGGCTAGTATCATAGGGGAATCAGTGTCAAATGCACACAGCCTGATTCTGCACTACCTTTTGGCACCTGTAGTCACATTTACTTTGTAAAAAGGGCCTAAAATGCCCTTAAATCAAAATTGATTTGGTGTAAACAACTAACATATGTAGTTTAACAGAGAATCAGGCTCCCAGCAATTACTTTGTGACATGCTGATACTAGAATTAACTGACTATTTTAATTGCTAATGAATTAAGGCTGATTCTTGCTGATATAAGGCCTCTGTATCCTTCTGTGACAGTGTAACTGTGCCTCAGCACAAGTGAGACTCAGGCTATTGGAAAAATTAACCTTTCAGTTCCTTTTGAAGTCAATAACTTTAGTGGTCACAAATGAATGAAATAACTGAAACCAAACAATCTGTCTTTATATACACAAAAGGTTTGTAAAAGGACCTAAAAGTAACCTGAGGAAAAACCAATTATATGTTTGTTGAAGAAAAAAGTTACACTTGTTGCCTGGTCTTGAAAACGGAGCATTGTAACACAATAACACACCTTTATATGAAGATAACTGGCTTGATGTTTGGAGGTTTTAAGTATGCCCAGATAAACTGTAGGTGCTTATTGACTCTGGAGGTCAAGTAATCTTGTCATACTACTACAATAAAATAGAAGTGAACTTATTTGGTATTTAAATGCTGGACATGTAGGGCATAGTTTGCATAAAGCTAGGGTGTGTTATATTCAGAGGAGTAGGAAGATGACCTCAAGCTCAGTAAAATGCTACACGATCACAGATTTCTCCTATTGTTATTGAAAGCTATTATGTGTTGCTTCCTTAGAATAGGGGTTCTCCAACTTTGCTCTTTGTATCCGAGCATTATTTTAGAAATTCTCTCCTCTCCAAACACTCTATAGATAACAGTTTTGGTTTTAAAACCTTCATTTTTCAGACAACAGTTTAACATTTGCTGGCTGAGAATAAAACAATCCTTGCTCTATTCAAATTTAAGGCCTGGGTCCCCATGGGCTGCAGCACTTTTAAACATACTTTTACTTCTAGTTAGAAGTTGGTTTATTTTTTAAAGCTAATATGGAATTTGCGTAAATTAACATAATTCCCTAGGCATCGGTGTGGCTGTGATAGTTACCCAGCTGAGGATCTGGCCTCTGAAACGTAAGTCCAGTGGTTGGGAAATCTGTTTTGTATACAAGTCAAATAACAGCTGGATCATATGTGATGTTACATTTAGTTTCATTGGCAATTCAGAAAATATTTAATAATAAATTTAATTGCTTCTATTCCCCATTTTTGTATACAAATAAATCATCTTTTCTAAAACATTCTTTTTCTTCAGTAAGGCTTGTATTCATAGTCATATCAAAAGTGTTTGCTATCAGAGCAATCTTTCAGCTTGCTTTCTTTAGAGTTATAATTATTATTAAATTCTACAGCATTCTAAACTTTAATGGTCACTAGCAACCCTGCACTTGAGTAAAGAATCACATTAAAAAAGTATAAGATATAATATTTTCTTGTCCAAATCTAAGGCAGGATGAACAAAAGTAATGAGCTCATCTGATCCTCACCTAGCAACCCCTGATTTTAAACAGTATTCAAAATACAAAGCCCAAGAGAGGATGTTGTCATGATGATTATTGCGCTTTCTCAGTGTCTTGCTATAGGATTAGTTTTTCCTTTAGCAATATATAGTTTCTTTTCCTGAAGACCACACAATGTTATTGTACTCTGTAAAAGAAAAAAAGCACTTAAAGTTTTATGAAGTTATGACCTAGACAGAAGGATAAAAAACCAAATTACTCTTCTATGATTCAGCTGTGTCATGACCTAATATTGTTTCAAAATTATTATTCTGTTATTTAGGTTGGCATCATCTTCTGAACACCTGATGTGCTCTTTGGCATGCTACAAATTCAGCAGATGCACTGTCTTCTGGGCTTTACAGCTTCCTCTGATGAATGTACAACATTTGGAACAAAGCCACTCTTGACACCTTCCCATCCATCTTGTATTGAGATTTCTCCTTTTTTTACAAGTTCATAGATGTCTCGTGTAAGGATTGTAAAGGACTCTTCAACATTCGTGGCATCTTTTGCTGAAGTTTCTATGTATTTCATACCACAGTCAGATGACAGTTTTTCAGCTTCTTCTCTTGTAACCTCACGCTGTGACACTAGGTCACATTTATGTCCTACTAACAGGAACACAATCTGAAAGGGCTGCACATGCATTTTTGCTTCTTCTAGCCAGTCTTTCACATGTTCAAAAGATCGTCGATTTGTGATGTCAAACACTAGTAAGCCACCCACAGAATTGCGATAATAAGCACGAGTTATTGATCTGTGAAGGAAAAAGAAAAGGAAAATTAAAATACATTTTCACTTTATTCATAAATAGATTACTTTTCCATGTGGCAACATGTTTTTACTTACCATAAATTTTATGAAATATGTTTGCTTTTTTAAAACTATTTGGAATGTATTAATTTACCTTCTACACACAAAAATGTACCTTTTTTTACTTTTTTTGCTGATGTTCAAAAGTCACTTGCTAAAGATCCTGGAAGCCAACATCTCTAGTGTGAATTTTGAATGCTAAATTAACCTGCAAAGTACTCTTTATTAGCAAACTGTGGTACATGTTCACAGAATAAAATATATATATTTGTCAAAAATATAAATATTGGTGTTTAAGTCCGAGTCCTTCAGTGTCATATAAACATGTACTGTGTTTTGTTCTAATCAATTATTTCAAACTGAAATATGCAAGCAGATGTCAAGAAACCTGGAGCCTACGCTTGCCAATATACAAACATATCCTTTTGTATTCCTTGCAGAAACATAATCATAATTCTTCATGCTTGCATGAAGAAAGGGAACTCCCTAAAGAAAACTGCCAAAAAGTACCTGAGCTGGGCAAACACACACTTGTTACAGCATTGGCAAGGAACACTTCTACCTCCAGCATCTCTCTTACACAGAGGTTCAAAAGCTCTTTGCAATTGCATTTACTCTTATTTGGCATGAGACTTCCAGGACTGGCTACAGATATTTTCTGCTTTTGAGCCCTCTACATTCCAGAGCATTCACTGGAAGGAACTTTGGAAGAAGGAAACCCTTCTTCTGGTTGAAAAGATTTTTAATATGCTCTAGTAGAAGAAGAAAAAATGTTAGAATGTGAAGAGAGATAAAGATACAGAGACTAAAAAATTATTGCGTCTCTAATCATGAGCAACAGGGGAGGATGGAGAAGGTGAGAAGAGACATTTTAAAGGAAGTGATGGCCTACCTAGGAGTGGACGCAAGCACTATGTTACTTGCATAAATATATAGCTAGGGTATATAGAAGTATTCTCCAGATGAAATGAGGCACACAATCTCTGGTAACAGTCATTATCTGAAGTGATAATTTAGCCAATAATTAATTCTGTTCTATCTTATGATTATGAAGAGAATGAAGCCTCAAAACCTTTGGAATCAGGATGAACTCTACACATTAACGTATCTTTCCATAACAGAAGCTCCCTCTGATTTTCAGTTCATCGCATTTCATATAGTGTTTTATAACAATTCGAACATAGAGGTATAATTAGCAGCAGTAGTCTTATTACAGATAGGTAAGTGCACAGTTAGATAAGGCTTAGGTTTTTTGGCGTATCTAAATTCATTTATCCACAGCAAACGGCATTTGAAATGGTTTTATTTAGATAACAGGGAGGGATTGTTTGTCCTAATGCTTAGAAAGATCTTTTCTACATTCCCAGAAATAGAGCACATGGAGTGTCTCTGTGAACAGTTCGAAAGTGAAGACAATAGGATCTTACCCTCTGATTAATTCAAATAGCCTGGATATACACAAATGAGTACATTAAAATAATTCAAGTGGTTCTAGAAAGAGTGGAAGTGGGTGACAAAAATGGGATTAGATTTGGAGAAGTGGAAGCTAATGCAACTTATTTTCCTTAAAAAAAAATCTTGAAACCAGTTACACCAAAGAAATACATTAGCCAGGGAAGAAAATAGGTTAGTATTGAAAATGCAGTGCGTCATTTACTAAGCATTTCTATATAGAATGATGTTCTATCATGTATCTATGAGCTGGGTTACTGAAAAATAGCCCTCCATGTCTTACTGGATGCTTATACACAGGCAGTCAGCACCCCCATTTGTTGTAACTCCCACCTGCAGAGATATTCTAATTTACACTAGCTGATGATTTAAGCCATTCTACTTAATTATGTGTATGCATTGCACGTAACTGAGATTATTAAAAAGCATCTACCTTTGGGCTGCACATCACAGAAACTGGGTGAATATATGGGAGAGAGTAATTTTTTCTATATTTTCGGTATGTATAATTTGAAATTAGTTTTCTCATTAACAAAAAAGGTTGATACACTAGAGCGGCTGTAGAAAACAGTAACAAAAGAAAAAAATAACACAAAAAGTTTTAAAGCTACATATGATAAAATGTATGTGATTGTCTAACATCTGAGAAAAGGATGATGTTTGTTAAAATATGGTCTACAAATATTTGAATAGTTTTACTATTAAGGTGAGTTATTATTTGCAGTTATAGTTTAAAAGAAAGTATTCCTGACAAGTAAGACAAAATTTTGAAGCAGAAAGTTTAGGCCATCAACTGTGAAAACGTCTGGGCACATGAATGTGGTAGATTGTTCAACAGTGTCTGGAACATCTTACAGATGCAAAATACTTGACTTAAATATGTCAGTCAGAGTATATGAAGTATTAGACATATTTTCAGCAGACAGCTTGAGTTATTTGGAAAATTAACTTTGTGAAGTGGATGTGCTTGCACTCCCTTACGCCCTGTATCACACCTAGAAAGAATGAAAGAGCAGTGACTTAGATGGTCTGGAAGGTCTCTGCTTTTGTTTTGGTTTGTTTTTTTCATTACAAAACTAAGTGCAAGGTCAATTTTTACCTCTTATTAATATCACTATAGATTATAGGACTTTTAAGTGCCTTCAACAAAGCTTAGGCAGAACTATAACATAGACATCCGAAGCCGTGCTCCACTCAGCTGAGTATCTAGCCATGGTGCCTGACTATGTTCCCCAGGGACACAAGTGCATTGTCCCTGCGCTGGCTGCGAGCCGCTCGGCGGGGACAGCCCAGCCTTCCCTCTTAGCTCAGGTACAAGCTGAAAGCAAACCATGGCTCCAGGTGAGTGCCCGGAAGGGTTCGGTTTTGGAGGGCTTCCCAAGAGCACCCCAACATCTTCAGATGGGTTCGGGCTCCTCACAAGATTAACTTTGTCATAGCATAGTGGAGGTCTCTCAACACAGATTCCTCGTGCACTTCTTCACTAGGTGCAGGTCTGTGTTCACAGAGCCAGTGGTGCAGAGGCCACTTGAGGGGTATTGCTCAGAAGACATACAGTTGTATGGACTTCACAGGCCATGTCCATGTACTGCACATGTCTTCACTGAAAAGATTGATGATGAGAGTGTGTGGTAGCCAACAAAAGATAAGGAGGGCTGACAGTAAAAGGGTCTTCATGCATCAGCTGGTAGACTTGTAGATTTCCTTGGGAAAGATGTTATGAATGCAAAGGTTTATCTGTATTCCCTGGAAGACTGAACATGTGCTGAACAAGACACTGAGTGAGGTTTAGTAAACAGACAAACTGCATCAGTCTGCAGAAGTCCCTCAAGTTCAAAGTACAGGATAGAAGAGTACTCAGGAGAATTCAAAGACTCTATTAGAGACAAGATATCAGAGTATGGACCACAGACAAAACCAGACTGACCTTTCTTGTGTTCTTTCACAAGCAGGGAATCCACTTACCTGATTATACACACTCTGGTAAGCACTGCAAGAAGAGACTCTAAAAGCAAAATGAAGTTTTTAACTCCCTTATTTTTGTCACTTTTTGAACGGAAAGGAAAAAACCTAGAGTGCTGCAAGTTTTTCAAGTCAGGATGAGGAACTGGTGACAGGTCAGGTCTGATGTAGTCCAACTTATTCATAAAGGATGTTCAAATTTCCATTTCTCAAATTATCCCCATACAGATCCTAAATTCTTGTTGAAATTATAGCTTCTTGTATAGAGTAAACTTTGGTTCAGCTAATTCATATCATTAAACTAGCACTATGGAAGGTTACTTGCAGCACCATGATTAATTTTCTGTGAGGAAGGATGGAGAGGGGAGTACTTCCTTTAGTAGAGGGAAAGCCTTAAGTTTGGGCCAGGGTGGGAGTAGGGTGAAAAAGAAATGGCCAAAGAGCAGCCTTTCTTCTAAAACTGGGGAGACAGCAATGAAGCCTGCCATCTCCTTCCAGGAAACCGTTCAGAGGAGGTGCTGGTTGGAAGTGGGAAACACACCTTTGTTCAGACCTTGAATGAAAGGGGGGGCTGAACTCTTAAATCCATCACTGCATCTGTCTTTATTCACGTCTTATATCTCTGCCTAAAACACTTTGGTTTTCTTCTATTCCTTTGTGCCCAGGACTTCCTTGCTGCCTCCTCTCTCAGCTTCTCTTTCACAGAAGACTCTAAACCCTTCTCAAAGCAATAGCTAATGGAAGTGCCCAAACCAATGTGTCTGCCTGAGCCTTTGTTCAAGGTGCAAGCTGATATTTCAGGAGGGACTTTGCGTGCTTCCCACGACTACACTAAATGAAAGGAAACAACCCTCTTACTTAGCAAAGGTGACTGTAACCCCTTGGTGACCGGAGCCCTATGTGGCTGTGCAGCTCCTCCTCTTTTAGGCTGCAGGATGCACATCACACCAGCCCTGATGATGGGTGTGCTGCAGCCTCCAGTCTGTCCACACTAAATATGTGAACTATGATACCATCTTTGCCTGACAGTTACAAAAATTGATGTAAGCATTATTGAAAAGGTAATTCTTATTTTTTCCCCAACTCTGTAGAAATAAATAGGGATTACAAAGCTCCTTATCTATGCTGTTGTTAAATATGGACTGTCCTAGCATCCTCAAGACCATTCTAAGTTTTTATTTTCAGCAAGAATACTTGTTTGAATAATATTTTTGCTCATTTCATATAATGCTTGGAATTTGTAACAAATGAAAGGTAAATACAGGTAAAAGGTCGGAGAAAATCAGTTTTTCCTTTTTAGAACATGCTAAAAAGACTGCACTAAGTATTGAAAGGGAACCATGATGCTTTGATATTGAATGCTGTAAGGTCTTGCCAGATGGTTCCATATCTGAAATTGCTGGAGGTGAGACTGCTACTCAAGAAGTTATACATTGTGATGTACAATAATAATATGCTAGAATGTTTTTCCAAAGGATAACTTAGAAGACTTTAGTTTTAATTGGGAATATTTGTTAAATGCAGATCCTA